ACAAGCCTTGCGTATTTTCCCCTATTAGGGGTGCCCGTCTTTCTCTATTAGGGTTGCCCACCTGACGTTGTGTGTGCTGAAAGACAAGTGCAGCATGCACACAACTGAAGTCATGACACATAAGATTAAACACCTTATCACCTGCTCCGGTGGCTCAGTGGGGAAACAGTGGGTTAAAACACTAAACGCGATATGTGGGGATGCAGGTTCGATTCACGTTATGGGATTTCATGCGAAAAGATTCTGCCTTTTAACCAATAAAAAATGAACAATAGATTCATATCAAAAGGCCAGTTTATAATATTCAACTGTGAAGATCCGGGGTAGAATAGGTCTTCAGCAACCCATGCTTGCCGTAAAAGGCGACTATGCTTGTCGTAAGAGGCGACTAACGGGATCAAGAGGTCAGACTCGCTGACTTGGTTGATGCATGTCATCGATCCCAATTGCGTGGATCGATGCTCATGATATTAATCACTGGATTGTCTGGTCCAGACTCGATTATTTACAGACCGCCGTCATATAGCTGGAATATTGCTGAGTGCGGCGTTAAACAACAAACCAACCAACCAACTTACCATTTAATTAAAGCGGTGGCATTCCTCCCTAAGCCCCTGGGTATTCTGATCAGTGAATGCATTCGCAGTTTATCAACATGTTAAAGAACCTTCTAACACAGTTGTGTTACATCACAAGAGGTTCATAAATCTCCACTGCTCGCATTTCGGGAGGGGGCACGGGTGGCCCAGTCGTCTAAGGCGCCGCGATTCGCTGTGCAGAGTTGCGTCCCTTGGGCACGCCAGAAACCTATGATTGTGGGTTCGAATCCCGGTTCGCCCCGATTATGTTTCTAGGTTTGTCAGCACCATACCCGTGCTCGTGGGTTTCACCGAAGTGGTAAACGTCTGAGACCTGCATCACTTCGGGCTTTCCTCCCACATTAAGCTGACACGCCGTGATATAACTGGAATAATGTTAAAAGCGGCGTTAAACCCAACTCACTCACTCGCATTTCGGGAAACCTACACTACGCCAGCCCTGGAGATAGAGAGGATGATTATCTATCAGTTGTGAAGCTGTGTATGTGCACCGGAATTGATAAATATACCTTATATGTTTGGTAAAAACCTATAATGTGGGGACTTTAGGGGCGACCCATTTCATATTTAGGGGAGGGGAGGGGGGCGTTGTTTTATGTAGAGTCATGGTGTTTTTTCCCTCATTTATAGAGAGAGCTGAAACGTTTTTACCTCACATTTCAAATTCAAGATATGGAATGAATGTTAACATTTTCGCACTATTCACTAAACAGTACAGATGTTGGTAATTTTAAAACAGAACAATGAAAATAGCAGTATAATAAAGCATTGTGCAGAAGCCTGCTTCGGTACAGGCTACAGAGCTTGCAGACCACTACGAGACGTAGTCCTGTCAATGCAGCATCTGTTGCCCAGTCAATGCAGCATCTGTTGCCTAGTCAATGCAGCATCTGTAGCACTTTTTTTGTTTTTGTTTTTTTTGACATCATTTATTCATGTTAATTGTCCACGATTTCACATGGCCCTGTACATTGCCACGTTGACTGGCATACCAGGGTTTATATTTGGGTTTGAGTTGCTTAAAGCAATAATACTCATCTAATTATTCAGTACACATTTAATTTTTTTCTGCAAGATTGACATTGTTATACTGTGGTACTTTGTATTGTATATCTAGTTCTCTTTTAAATATTCTAAAAAGGCAGTCGGTTTCAGTTACTTTGCATCTATACACAATATACTTTGCTAGCAGTAGTAAATAATTCATCAAAGTACACTCCTCTGTGCCTCCTTCTATACCATACAATACAACATCTCTGTAATTATCATAAATCTGATTATGTACATTAACCTTCGCCCACTTAAAGAATTCTATCCGAAAGGGTAATGCATTTGAACAGTAAAACATGTAAAGTCTAACAGTATCTATACTACCACAATGTTCACATACATTACTTTCTTTAATGTTAATTATATTTAAATACTGATTACAAGGAATGGTTGAGTGTAGAATTTTAAATTGCAGTTGCTTATACTTGTTTCCAATTCTCATGAATGAGATTGTACCTGTAGCACTGTCAAGGCGGCGGTGACGTCACTGGACAGTGTTACATGGACTAATCGCTCTACCCTGTTGTACTGCCATTTTAGCAACACAACAGGACAGACCTTGTTTCAACAAGATAACACAAGGCTCCATACAACATCTTGCCTTGACCATCACAATCACCAGACTTGTCACCCATAGAACACTTGTGGGATCACCTTGGCCGTAAAGCAGAGCACGGCCAGGTCGCCCTTATAACAATGATCAGTTAGCACAGGCCCTCTGAGACGAATGGCGTTGAATCCCATTTCTTGTGATAAGCCGTAACACATCTACTTCTCGTCGTTGAGTTGAGACGTGCTAATTTCAGTCATGATTGTTGATCGAATACTGATCACCTACCCCATCCTCTAAACGGTGGTCACAACACCTTCATTTTTTATCTCATGAATGGCATAAGTTGTGATGATGTTGATGTATAATTAATGGTTTTTGACAATACAAGAATATTCATTGACAGTGTTTGTTCCTATACACAGTACCAATGTTGATTGGTAGCGCTTCCTTTGTACGCCAGTTTAGGTCATTATATTTACGTTGTATTTTTTTCCAAGTAAGGGTAAATGATGTTTGATGGACATCACAGTCAACAACTGGTGGATTCCAGGACAGGTGGATTCAATAACCTTGTCCAAGTACGCAACACAGTGACTTGTATGATATGGCAAATTGAAATGGAAGAATTGAAAATGATTATCAATAAATAAGTGTTACAGTTACTGTTTATCATGCTCCTGTCTCGATGTCACTGATTATGGCTTTGCTCACGATCGAAATACTCTGTATTGATGAGGATGGCCAAATTGCGATCGGGACTTTTTATTGAGGATGAGATTTTTTTTTTAAAGAGAATGGAGTCTGAGTTTTTTATTATTTACACAAAATGATGAACTCTGTAATTTTATTCACCCCCAAAAGCAAACAAACAAAAACAACACAAACAAACAAACAAACAAACAAACAACAACAAAGCAAAACAAAACAAAACAAAAACAAAACGTAAATAAATAATCAATTAAAAAATCAAAGGGTCCCAAGCATGGTATAAAGTATGTACAGTCACTGCCGTGTGATATATCCATATCGCGCTATCGGGGATATCTCGAGGTATCTTAATTCATCTGACTGAGGAGGCTCGACTCATCACATCAAGCTGTCAACGACATTCATATAATCGCGTGATTTATCATCAGGCTATCCACGTTGCCCTTGACATCGTATGTTGTTGGAACGCTGGCCTTGCTCCGCGAACATTGGTATTGTTTACCAACAAGTCGTGATTATAATTTTTTGTCGGTATTTACAGAGGATATGGTTCTTAAAGAACACCTAATAATAAACAGCAACTTTTCATGTCTACGCCGATATAACTTGTCAGAAATAATGTTCAAAGCGTTTAACCAACTCACTCACTCACTCACTGTAACACGTATGGAATAACGGTTGAGCAGTGTGGATGTGTCCTAAGTCGTGACATACAGGATTCGCTAATGCTGGATTCGAATGCCAGATTAGCCGATTCAGATCTTTAGTTAGTCAACATCCTACATGTGTTCATAGGGTTAAATGTGCAAGGCAGATCCAGCATTTGTAAAAGGGAGGGGTCCAAATATAAAAATCCTCTCTCAATAATTTTACTGCCTACAACACACCACATTTGGTCTTCAAAAGGATTGGTGGGGTATGCTCATGATGTCAGTCACTGGATTGTCTGGTCAAGACTCTATTATTTACAGACCGCCGTCATAAAGCTGGAATATTGCTGAGTGCGGCGTCAACAGCACCAAACAAACAAACAAAACATCTTCAGGGTATACATAATGTGATCAAACAAATCACTCACTCACCCACTTGTATATAGACAATATTTCCATTATTATCATCATCATATCCTGTCGACCTGCAGACCCGTGCGTTTGAAGTAATCGGTATCGTTTTAAATCCTGCGATATCACGCCTTCGTATATTTGCATACATCATGAGTGACAAACATTATCCGTACGTATACATGTATATGAATACATATGTATTGCACACTACCAACACATAGATATTCATGGGTACAATTCACGCCTTATTTCGTAGTATAGTGCCGTAGATAATATTTAAATGTCCTCAACTGCTACAGAATATTTTATAATTTCGATACTGAATAAAATTGTTAATCAACAAAGGTACATTATATTGAAATATTATCACAAATTTATGTTTTGATAAGTAATCATTAGTGATAAAATAAATGCGTCATATATACAATAATATATATTATTAATATTATAAAGTAAGAAAATGATTTGGGGATATCTATAATGCAGTTATTGATATAATAAAATGAATCATTGATATATTACAAATATAGATTAGAATGGCGCCTAGCTGGCAAATATTCCAGTTATCCATGCACGCGTCAGTAATAAAAAAGTTTTCATATTAGGATGATTATGGAAAACAAATATTATATATAACATCTGTCAACACGGACAATACCAGATATATAGTAGTAAACATATGTTTTATGACTTAGCTAGGCCTAAATCCGCTTTCTCGCGTCTTTTGTTAAACCTACGTGAGTGGGTATTAATTAAATAATTAATAAGTTACTCGATCGTTATATCCTTACATTTTCAGTAAGCTGATATTAACATGCTAACTAGAAGACTGATACATTAACATACGTTTACACAAAAAGAGAATAGAATATGTACCCTATCCTAGTGTTGAACCCTCTATGTATATAGTATGGCGAGATTTGAGGTAATTGACAATGAAACCGAACTGGACCCACACAGAAATGCTTCCATCTTATTGGCTGATGAGGATGATCTGAGGGTCACTTGAGGTCATGCGTAGGTGAAGGTCATACATAGCGCGATTTTTATTTTCAACCGGTGCGATCGAAAGACATGTTCAATATGAATTAAGTTTCCGTTCGGTTGGATTTATTTATTCCCAGTTTCACACCAAGAGACTGTCAGCTTCTCGTATGCAACATGTGCCGCGAAGAGACGAGGAAAGAGAAAGTGTTGCCATATTATTCTTTGGATGACATTCGCAAACATGCTTCTCGCGAAGATCGGTGGATTGTGATTGACGATTTAGTTTACGATGTAACTTCGTGGGGTAAAATGCACCCGGGTGGTGAAAAACTCATCAACAACCATGCAGGGGAGGATGCCACGGTGAGATGATGTGTGTGTTTTGTGTTACGTTCATAAACCTTGCCGGTAAACACAAAATATAAATATACAGCTGCTAAGCCGGTATGAGGCTCTTGAGGGATGGGCGTGACTCATTTGTATATGTTTATATAGTATTATAAATTTAAGAGTATAAGAACATTACGCAGCTTGTTGTTTCTTCTTTTTTCCTTTCCTTGTTATTCAGCATTAACTAAAGATTCTTCATATTGAATCAATATGTCTTTATGTGACCACCCTTTGTGGCCCCCATTTTGTCTCCAGTGTATGATATTATATTATCATGTATGTAGATCTATATAAATGTTTCATTGAAGAAAATAATACTCTGTCTTTATTTGATACAGGTAAAAATAATTTTATTTCAAAGAAAAATAAACCAGTGAATGATGGTTAGATTTCTACTTCTCACTAGATATCTACAGTCATGGTGTCTTAATTCCAAATCTCCACTTCATCTAAAAAAATGAGAGATTTTGTGTAATGGTCCAGTCATCAAAAGTCTTAATGAAGTCTCTTACTTGAGAAAAAGGTTATTGAACTGAGGCAAGATTTATATTTTCATATTTATATATTTTTTTATATCATTTCATTAACTGTGGTAGATCTGATCACATGTATTCAGCTTTCCAGTTAGAGCAACAAGACAATTAAAAAATTAAACATTTAAATAGTTGTATACATGGTATATTACCACAATGGTTGAATCAACATGATCAATCTATTTCACTGTGTTCATTCCTGTTGCCATAAATATTCAGGTCACAAGAGGTCTGTCCAATTACTTCCTTGTAAAGACAAACTTACCGACTGTCGTACATTTAATTAAAATAAATCCGAACGCATATTTACCTCAGAGGCAAAGTGGAGTATTTGCATTCAAAACACAAACTGATCTTGGATAAATAAGCCACCTGGATCTCAGTTTGATTACACAGTATAAAGTATAGCCCTTTGTAGTCTATATCAAACCTGTGGAAGGTGTTGTGTTTAGCCTGTCAATTTGTGGGATATTTCATTTCTGGAGCAGTATATCCAGACACATTACCTTGTGGTGAAGTGATACCGTTTCCATATTTACTACCGTAGTATGTATGAAGTTTTGGCACTTTCATGGATCATTTATGGACAGACACGGAAGTTTGTTTCCTTTTGGTGAACAGAACAGCAAGGTGTGATCTTGAACCAACTGACATGACGATATATTAGTCTCAATGTAAGAGTTTGCACAGGTTTCAAGTGTCTTTGAAATTAAATTTTTACTTGGAAATGAAATGTGTTCGTTTGGGGGGCTTGTTGTGGTTAAAGCGTTCGCTCGTTCCGCCGAAGACCCAGGTTCAATTCCCGACATGGGTACAATGTGTGAAGCCCATTTCTGCCGTCCCCTGCTGTGATTTTGTTGGAATATTGCTGAAATCAGAGAAGCCCAAACTCACTCCTGCAAAAAGCCTTGAATTTTCCCAACCAAACCCCATCTCAAATATATGATCTTAAAAACATGTCCGTGTCATATAGACGCTGAAAAATGGTACTTGGTGTTACCTTGTCTGGTGGTCGGCATTAAGGGGATAAAACAGACTGGTTGGCTCAGTCCATATACTGTGTCTGACAGGGGTATTCATGTTAAAACTTCTGCATGGTATCTCAGTGGGCTAACCGTAACACTGTAAAGCAGAGATTAGTCTGGACTAGTCAGAGCTCCAGATAAGCTTTTGGTGTTGTGGGTATTTTACCCATGCATTTTAAAATCATTGGGTATCAGTAATTCTATCTGCGTATTCAAATTTCTGTTACCCACTAGTTTTTACACATGTGGGTATTTAAGTTAAATATTTAAAAACACTATTCATCTAGTCCCTGCAAACTGGTGTCGTGTGGGTTCGAGAGCTTTATAGGACTCAAAAATACCACACTACTCCCACACGAAAGTGTGATGGCAAATGATCAGGATGTAACTGTCATCGTGGAGTTTGGCAAGGTTGACGGAATGCCCGTTTATAATTTCAAAATAAGTTGCTGATTTGCTAATCGAATACGCAGGGTTACTTCACAATAATTCGATGATACGCACAAATTTTATTTTTGTAGCGTATCTGTAATGTTCGTTGCGTATTTGATACGCTTGGATTATATTTTACTGCATATTTCTGCATTTCTGATGCGTATTTCACGCAGATACGCAGCTTATCTGGAGCTCTGACTAGTACAACCTTTAACCACATTTTGAATCAACCTAGGGCCGGTGGGGTAGCCTAGTGGTTAAAGCATTTGCTTGTCACACCGAAGACCCGGGTTCGATTCCACACATGGGTACAATGTGTGAAGCTAATTTCTGGGGTCTCCCGCCATGATATTGCTGGAATATTGTTAAAAGCGACGTAAAACCATACTCACACACATCGCCCTCCCCCCTCTAAACATAATAGAAATTATATCTTTTGAGAAATATCTGTTGATATGTGTTAAAGTCTATGAATCTATAACAGATTGAACTGACGTGGGAACCTTTTTTAACCCAAGACCCCCCACAGGTAAAACAATGGTAAATTGACCTTAGTGAGATTGCAGCACAAGTAACTACAGTCAACTATGCTTATAACAAACTGACCGATATAACAAACTCATTTTTTAGTCCCGACCATTTGTTCGGTATAACCGTAGTTTACTATACAGTCAAAAATAAAGGAAATAAATCCATAAGTTAACATCTTTGCAAGATTGTATTAAAAGATGGCACTAATTTCCTGCATTAATCTTAGTCATCAAGCAGGCTACTGCCAACTTGAACCTTCCAGTACATTTTTAAACTACACTTTATAAAACCTCTAGGCAATGCCTTGAAAATTGTTTAGAGGTTTTTCTACTTGAATGTCTGAAAATTCATTTTATGTTATGTCAGACAACATGTGTCAAGCAAGATTGGAAAGAACCTGAAAATTGACATATTTTAAGCAAAATAATTTTTTTCTTTATTATATTAGGACGCATGGGTTGCATTCCATAATGACAGAAAAACAGTGAGCAAGTACCTGCGTCCTCTGCTGGTTGGGAAAGTGAGAGAAGAGGAAAGAAAAGTGGTAAGACCCTGAGAAAGAATATAAGTAAACATTTAGGAGATAAACAATCTGTGTTTTCAATGTAGAGCTAGGTTACCTGTAGATTTAACCCCGCTTAATTGAATTTGGAACCGAACGCACAGTGTGAGGTTTCAAATGTTAAATTTAGCGGGGTTAAATCTACAGGTAACCTAGCTCTACATTGAAAACACAGATTGTTTATCTCCATTCTACCATGACTAAATAAAACGCGAACTCTTTGGTGTTAGCAAATATACTGAGTGAAGCGTCATGGGTTGAGTTCAGTGTTTTGAGTGGGTTATCGATCTGAATTACGGAATCACCGAACAAAATATGGTGCCGTATATACTCAAGCAGTTTGTTTACACCGTAATACTTCACTCGAACATATGACAGGCATTGAAAGCATATAAGCACGTCAACTTGGTAAGCTAACATGAGGTGGGCATCCCGAAAGAAAACAAAGCAAGTTTTGCAAGGCTTTCGCTCTACATCGCACGTCACCATTATGACGTCATATCGCTGATTGTGACGCAAAAAATGACGTCACAGTCATGTATAGAAAAGCGCCAAAATTCCAAGCTCTCTGTTGTCTCCAAAACGTAAATACATTCCCTTTGTTGATTTCTATCGTGTTTTTCTGCACGAAATGTATTGCCACACATCCTTTGACTATTGTAGTAACCGCATCTGGGCATTTTGTAACCTGTAATTGTAGATATAGTTATTTAAATATGCCTACCGACAATGACTGAAAATAGTACTTTTGTATGAATATTAGCTTCCGCGGTGATGCGGCCGTCAAACCATCTGTTTCAATCAGAGGGGGTTTATTGTGATTTAATAGCCTCTGATTGACCAATCAGAATCGAGTAAATTCCAAATTCATGGTAGAATGTCCAATAATGCCAATATTGACATACCATATTTGCCATTAATACCATATTGAAGCAGGGCACTTAATACAGTTAAGACGGTACTATGAAGTTATTTTTCATTACTGACATTGCTCAACAGGTTCAGTAGGAATAAAAAAAACAGCTCTATAAATTTAGATTTTATTCTGGATTTGTCTGATACTTAAATAATTCTACCAGACTCTGATTAATGCAAAATGTATCAGATTACATTTCCAAGAAAAGAAGGGAAGATGTTTTAGATGATGCTCTATCTGATGGGGAATGGGTGAATATGAGATCTTATAGATGTACCGAGGACAGTGGTTCAATTCAAATGATCCATCATATACACTACACACTAAGGCTGGGACAAGTCCAAATTTACTACCCGGGTACCCACCCCCCTACTACCCGACACTACCCAGGTACCCACTGTAGGTCTCAAGATAGGTACAAAATGTCCGATTGGGAAGTTGTTTACCATAGCCCTGGCAAAACGTATTTAGATACAAGTATTAAACAATCTGGCCATGCATACACTGAAGTTGACTAAAGTTCTATCTTTCTACAACCATATGAAAAGTCAGAAAGAATGGGTGCATGGTCAGAAATCATTAGCAACCTGCAGTGTAATCACTGAGCTGTACTGTATAGAGTATTTGTCATTAAACAATATATCAAGTGACTAACCACGGATCCGGGTAGTCCTGTGGGTACCTGGGTCCTACTCAGTACCCACCCAACCCGGGTACCCGAGTTACCCGTCCAACCCCCAACTCCAGCTGTACCTGAACAAGAAAGGAGAAATAAATAAATACAAATTTATGTTTACAATATTTAAAAAAAACAACCAATTTAATCATAACTGTTCCTATGTCAGAGTGAGCTGATCCATGACTTCCGGGACTTGCGTCAGAAGGTGGAGGACATGGGTCTGTTCAAGGCCAGCATCGTCTTCTTCACATGGACGGTGGGTCAGGTGATTGCCCTTGAAGCCTTGGCCTGGCTTATCTTCTGGCAGTTCGGGACGTCCTGGGTGCCGTATCTTGTAGCCACCCTGCTCCTGTCGACTGCGCAGGTAAGGGGTATAACTTACTCTTTGGTATAGGGGCGGTCGGGTAGCCCAGTGGTTAAAGCGTTCGCTCGTCACGCCGAAGACCCGGGCTCGATTCCAGACATGGGTACAATGTGTGAAGCCCATTTCTGGTGTCCCCTGCCGTGATATTGCTGGAATATTGCTAAAAGCGGCGTAAAACCATACTCACTCGCTACTCTTTGGTATACACCCAGCTATGTTCTGTAAATAATTGAGCCTGGTCCAGACAATCCTGTGAGTGACATCGTGAACATTGGTCTTTGCAACTGGGATACGATGACATGTATCAACCAAGTCAGGGAGCTTGACCACCCCCATGTTCACGGGTCTCATTTCTAAAGACAAGCATGGGATACTGGGGACCTATTATTTTGCAAAGTAGTAAACGAAGTAATCGTGCATATCAAACTTTTTCTGATAGTTTTGTTGTAAAAACTTTAAAATGGATGATTATTTAAAAACAATGATTGTGTTTCTTACAGGCCCAAGCAGGATGGTCTCAACATGATTTTGGCCACTTGTCTGTTTTCAACTCATCCAGGTGGAACCACGTCCTTCATGTATTTATCATCAATTTTCTTAAAGTAAGTGACACAGCTAGGTGTGTTAACATTGTAGGGTTGAGTGTTCCTGTCCGGATGGGTATCTCAGGACCTGGAATAGGCTACCCTGCCGCAGCTCGGTGATGTTCATGCCATCCACCACTGGTTTACCTGAACAAGACTTGCTCATTGTCTGGAAGTAGTAGTAATATAGATATGTTACCGACCCAGGGGTAGAATCCATGCTTTAAGGCCAACCAGTCTACAACATTCTTTACTTCCTAATTGTTTAGTACATTTAAAAAGAACTACTAAAAAGTGGTTCTTGCAAGGCACTTCAGTTATCTCAGAAGAGTTGCATACCTTAGCTGTAACAGGATCTGCTAATTATTTGTCTGAAATTCAGATATCCTCAGTTGCTCCAGATAGATGTCATATCAGTGTATTGTATGGATGAAAACCAGTCAAATATGGATGGATTGCAAATAACGATCGAATCAAATATGCAGGCAAACAATACTATATACTCTCATTCCGCTTAATTAATGGGAAATACTACATGTTGTGTCTGGGCGGTCGGGTAGCCTAGTGGTTAAAGTGTTCACTCCTCACGCCGCAGACCTGACATGGGTACAATGTGTGAAGCCAATTTCTGGTGTTCCCCGCGTGATATAGCTGAAATATTGCTAAAAGCAGCGTAAAACCATACTCACTCACTCACTCATGTTGTGTCAGCAGTAAATGAATTTCATCCCAATCCTGCATTGAGAAACGACAATAATCATGCACTCTAATTCTCACATCTCGTATTTGTTTGGCACCCAAATCCAGATGTATAACACAAGGTCTTTTAATGATGGCAGTGCAGGTGTGCTGATGAATGTTTTCAAACCAAACAGGCCTACAAATACATATCATTTTTTAATGTGAAGTTTACATGATATACAGCTTTTCCATTGGACGAGGGGACAGTCATATGACAGCAAAACTGGTGATAGGTTTATGAACGACACAATTTGACGTTCATATGTTTTTCACAAGACTGTAAACAATGATGTAAACAATGTTGGACTACTTCCACATTCCCGGGAAAACCCGTGGAAATTCCCCAGCACGAATAAATACAGAAACATTCTTGCTGATCATTTAGACCCTTTAATTTTGAACTTAGCATTTTAGCATACATTGAGAAAAATCAGTATTTTACCGCAGGATTGTTCCCGAATTTCCTCGCTAAAACCCATCATAGGGAGCAAAACGAAGAAATGCCATCCAAACTGTTGTAGTATCGACTCAACTGACAGTGAAAGTCAACAGCAATCTATGAATTTACCTCAGTATCTACTAACACATCTTTACAATCACTTTTCAATGATCGGCCAATTGATCAGTGATGGCTAACACTTGTAATTACCATGGACAACTTAAAAAATCTCTCCCATCATGTTTATCATGTGAGACATTTTGCCGTACAGTATTTGATGTAAATGTGTTTCAAGAATGTATGGTACTTATTGGTTTAAAAAATATGTAATAGTCAGTTCTCATAATGACCGGTGCTGTACTCCTATGAGTGTAAAAAAGTGACGTTTCGGTATAGATCCTTTGATCTCATTTAGTCCTGCTTGACAACGGTATAAGGATCTATACCGAAACGTCGCTTTTTTACAGTATTAAAGAAGTTGTTATCCATAAAATTGTGTCTACCTTAAAACTATGCCTTGGAGAGCAGGAAATACAATTTAAAAGGTAAATCTTCATGTCTAGTAATGTTTTATATTAAATTTCATATATTTATCGACCAAGTTTGTTATACCTGTTCGTTCACCTGAATTCGCTGAAGGGATACAATATGTGTTTTTAAAAGTACAAAACACAGGATAAATATTTTGTTTACACTAAGAGTCATAGACAACTACTATTCTAATCTTTTTTCAAACTCAGAAATGTGCATCGTAGATCGTGTTAGGTGGGAAGAGCATGTGCTATTGTGTTGAACATCTAACTCCCGCAACTCGAACTCGGTTAAACCGCTGATCGTCTATAACGCTCATAAGTTTTTTGGGCCCCAAAGGTAACGTTGTGGCGAGGGATCAGTGTATGTAAGTGAAATACCTATAGCTATTGTTGTTTGACACAGGGTGCATCAGCTGACTGGTGGAACTACCGCCACTTCCAGCATCACGCCAAGCCGAATGTGGTGCGGAAAGATCCAGATATACGATTAGATTATATTCTCTTGGTTGGCGATAAATTGCCAGTAGAGGTAAGAGTGTTATTCATTATCACAGAATATACTGTAACATGTAGGAATCTGTGTCATGTGGGACTTGAGTTTTCCTTGCAAGATTTTAAGGGGGTAGAAATCAGACCCCAGAAGCATACTATTCATACTATTCTACTACCCACAAAACACTTTAAATTGTTTGTTATTTATTATGTCATTCCCAGTTGGGATTCCAGGTTAGAATAGCATCCTATGCTTTTGGTGAGAGGAGACCAAATGGATTGGGTGGTCAGGCTTGATAATTTGGTTGATTGTGTGTTGTCGTACCCAGATGATATTGATCATTGCTCGTCACAATATTATTCACTGGATTGTCTGGTCCAGACTTGATCATTTATAGGGCTCCGTCATATTGCCAAGTGGGGCCAAGTGTGGCGTAAAACAAACAAACAAACAAACAATATCATGTCGTTTTTATAGCAGGTGACATCCCTGTTTATTTCAGTGGGGCAAGAAGAAGAAGGGAGCCATGCCTTATCACCATCAGCATCAATACTTCTATTTCAGTAAGTGAACTAGTTACTTGAGGCTCGTGTCTTTCCAACTCCAGCCAATGTATTTGCAAAGTGGATCAAAGGGATGTTAGACAATGCCTATGTCCTTGGAGAGTACATCACTAATAGGCCTTCTTAGAGTATATTGAAGTTGGGAATTCTGTAAAAGACTGATTATTTACAAACCGCCCCACTCATGCTGCCTCATATGTGAGGGTTATGGCAATCTCATTAAAATCAGATCTTAGTTCTCGCTACCGCTAAACAAAGACCTGAAGACATCCCATTAGGGGTCACGTCAGAACGACCTTTCATCCAATCAATCAGAGCGTCGCTTACCAGATTTTGAAAGTGACAGTCGGAATGTGATTTCTAATCATGCAACCTCGAAAACTTTAACATGGGGTATTCCGAACGTTAGTTATGGATTTAACGACTGAATCCTTACAATCTAGACAATCTATTAGCCAATTCAGAATGTTTTTTGTTCAGGTTTCAAATTTGTAATCGAGAATTTGGCAAAATATGTTTCAAAGCGTAATCGCCAATTTGAAATTAGGGCTGTAAAGCACGAGAAAGCTGCCTTCTGATTGGTCATTCCATTGGTCGGTCAAAGTTCGCGCAAGGTCGGTCTGATGTGACCTGTAATGGGATGTCCTCAGATCTTTGTTTAGCGGTAGCGAGAACTAAGGTCTGATTTTAATGAGATTGGGTTTATGGTTCTTAAAACTCAGTGAGAAAATTTTACAATATCTACAGGGGTCATTTATTTAGGCAATGTTTTAGCTGTGTTCTGGTAGCTGTGATTTAGCTGAAATCTTGTTGCCTGTGTCACTGAACTACATTCTGTGACAGCCCTGTGCAGTTTTATAAATAATTCCTCGAATTTTCTCCTGTTTTCAGTCATGCCACCATTGCTGCTGCCTCTGTACTTCAACTTTGAGATTCCCTATTTCCTCATCTCCAGAGGGAAGTGGGCGGTGAGATACTGTTGTATTCTACAAATTAGGAGATGCCCTACCACTAGACCACAGAGGTGGTATCCCATATAAAGAGGACATGCTGTGATATAATCAAAATTGCCAGTCAAAGCAGCTTTAAACCCATCTCACTACTGCTTGTCTTAAAAATACACCTACATGTTAATCTGACTTATTTTCAGTTAGGAAATTCCTGTTTGATTCCTGGGGTCCTATTTGTTTGACAGGAGCTGTTCTGGATGGGAACGTTCTTCCTCAGATGGCACATCATCTTTTCCCCCTTTATTAGTGTGGGGGGGATATTTGCCCTTTTCTTCTTTGTCAGGTGAGTTCAATAAATGTTTTCAAGGTCAAGGCATGAAAAACATGACATCTTCCCTAGGCAAGAGAGTTAACTGACCATAAAAGTCCAGTTTCCACCCTTGCCGAAGCAAGCTGGAATTGTGGAGTTATATTTTGGCTTGACTAACGAGACATTCGGTTCATAAATGTGGTCGACCGGGGATTATTGTGGGTAAATAGATATATTAAAGAACGTAGTTGGTGGGTTAGTTGAAGGGAGTTGAATGGCTGACGTAGTACCTATCTTTGTAGCCCTTGTTGTAGAAGCTCACGCCCACGCGGGCGTAGTGGCTGGGAAGATGTGACGATACCACGCTTCTTGCATGCTCGGCTAGGTGGAAGCCATGATTGGGAGAGTCGAGATGTAAGGAGCGTGTTCATTGGTTGTGTCTGTTTTCCTGGTCACATGGTCCGCGTGGTGGCTTTATAAGCCTACCCTGGGTAGGGAAATGTCAGTCGTCGCTCACCAGTATCTGGTAAGATGCAGTCGGCTCCCGCGCCCTGAATCAGGACCGTTTATTATTTATTATAGGGCTTTTGTTGGGATATTAGATTAGGAGGTATGGGTGGGGGAAAATAGAGATACGATTGAATAGGTTGGGTTTATAGACGTTCAATGTTTGGGAGTTAAGATAGTGGGATGGTAAAAAAGAACAAGTTTAAGTAAGAAGGTTGAATTCATTTATGTAGGTAGTGAAGGGGGGAAATTACATAGGTTAAAGTTAAGTGGAGAAAGATTTTTCATCTGTTTTTTTTTTTTTTTGTTAAATAAATTTTAAATCCAACTTCGCTCTTTGTGGTTTATCTATAATTAAAATTGGTAACCCGGCCGGAGCCCCCTAGAACATAAAGCCAAAAGAATACTGCCCAGGGAGACGAGAACACAACGCAAAGCACCGCAGTAAAACATCAGACCTTTGTCAACTATTTTTATAGTTCTACTGTCACTGGGCGCCTTTTACAGGCTTTAGAGGGCGCCTATTACAATAAACAACATGGCAGTTCGTGTTGATTGCAGGATTTGTAGAGCATGTGTACCTTCAAATGGGCGACCGCAGATGTTTTCCAAATCTTTTCATGTCTTTAATCAATGTGCTCGAGTGATTTGATGTAAGACCCAATTTATTACAAAAGGATTTTGATTATCGATCAGATTGTCTTGACTGGCGCCGCCATTTTGTTTGAATCAAATGCAAGTGATATGAGATGTGGAATCTCGTTGGTCAATGAAAGGGACATAGAAGGGGCATAACCCGTAATTGCTGCTAGTGGTGCTATGATCGAACCATGAAATTTCAGCCGAGTTCGGGAAGGGTGGAGGCTGGACTTTTACAGTCAGTTAACTCCCTTGCCTCAGGAAGATGAAACATGATGAAGGCCCTGTACAAGTGAAATTTTGAGAAAGATTAAAAATCTGCCTGAAAGTCATGGAAAAGAGTTCAGGTGAGAGAGCATTTTGTCACTTTTTGAGTGAGTGAGTGAGTTGGGTTTAGCCCCACTTTGAACAGTTTCCCAGTTGTATCATGGCATATCAGCTCAATGTTGGAGGAAAGCCCTAAGTGGTGCCTGTCTCAGACGTTTACCATTTTGGTGGAACCCACAAGCATGGGTATGGTGCTGACAAACCTAGAAAGATAATCGTGGTGAACCAGGATTCAAACCAACAATCACAGATTTCTTGCAAGCTCAAGAGACATAACTCAACACAGCCTTAGATGACTGGGCCACCAGTGCCCCACTTTTAGACTTTGAAGCTTACAATTATCAAATCCAGTAGTGTGACTTAAACATTGTGATAAAGTCTGTTGTAAGACGTTTCAACTTGAGCATGTCCTTTCAGACAGGCTGATAGTTTTTGTAAATGTATTTATCATCCAAAACTGGCTCCCACAGGAGATATTGCTTGGATTAGTTCAAGCGATATCTACACTGTAGATATCGCTGCAATGAAATTACATCACAATGCTTTGCAGACAATTGTGACGTCATTTGTTTCCATGACATCACAATCAAATGACATCACTAATGGCTCTGCTACTGAAGCTGTTAGCAGTACTTTTTACGCTGAAGTCACTGCTAATTACTGTCTACAAATTGTAAAAGTTGGAAGAATGATGTTGGATGATAAATAAGATCTCACCCTTGTGTCTTTTGATATCAAATATATCAACACTCGTAGATAAAAGTGGCAAAAATCCTCGGCAAGCCTCGGAATTTTTCTACTTTTATCAACTCATGTTGATATATTTGATATCAAAAGACACTCGGGTGAGATTCTCTATTTAACAGTGAAGTCATTTTGGGAAATTTTATCTGAGTTCGGGTCCTACTCACAGTTTTTCTTGAACTTTGAAAAATCATTTCTCTCTGTGTGTATTTTAGCAATAAGGTTTTAATAAAAGAATTGGTTCTCGGGCAATGACTTTTGAAAATATAGTTCGGGCGGGGGGAAGTTTTTTTTGTGGCTTGTTCAAACTAGTATGTAATAAAATAAACAGTTGTGTACCATCAACCTGGGAAAGAGCCTCCCAACATGAACAAGCATACAAACTTCTATTACTGCCACGACCAAAACACGAGATGATCAGAAAAGCAGTATAGCAGTGCATGGGTAAAGGGAAGTAACTGCATGCTTTATTGGATCGCATTGTTTTTGAGTATTTTTGAAAATGGAAACAAAACCAAAACCAAGACCATTATTTTATTTTGTCTGACTGTGTACTTTTATAAACGTACACTTGTCAGCTAAAAGAACAAGTGCCAATTTCAACATGTTCAGACATTTATTATTTGTCAATTTTATCAATGATCTTCACTATGTTTTTTTTGTAAAGGTTTTTTGAGAGCCACTGGTTTGTGTGGACGACCCAGATGAACCACATCCCTATGGTGGTGGACAAGGACCACAGCCTCGACTGGGTTACCATGCAACTACAGGCAACATGCAACGTGGACCAATCAGCTTTCAATGACTGGTTCAGCGGCCATCTTAATTTTCAGATAGAACATCAGTAAGTCTTATTTGTTAGATGCATTCATGCTTGTATGGTAACAATGCAATACTGAAATGACTGCATTGATCATTGCACATGCCATTAACCACAGGTTTTTCTGAACAAGAACAGATTACCATATTTTCTTGAGTTTAGTGAATCCCCCCCGAAACACAGCTGTGTAGAAGGGGATGTGCATTATACACGCCATAATGAGTTTTGATGGGTTTTTTTCACCAATGCATAGACATTACTGTGAGCACGTAACACCGGAAATACCATGTCAACAAATCCATACTGAAGTACATAAATTAATCATGTACTTACACTGTCTGGTTATAAAAAGTGTTCATTGTATATCTGGACTTATGTTTGTAACTTATTTAATTAATCTCATTCAAAATTCCTTTTAATATTGTTTTAATTAATTTTGGCCAAATCGTGTGTGAAGCAATCGGAAAAGTAATCGCTATAATATTACTGAGTATGTCAGAAAACAACACTCACTTAGAATGCAAGCAAGCACACCCCTAAAAACAAACTTTAATGTGTCCACTTTCATGTCTGTCCCAACTTTGGACATGTGCAACAAAATAGGGACCCCCACTGCCAAAATAAAAAACAAACCTTATAACAGTATATATACAGTTTTACATCCCACATATTCAAGGCCACCACTACTCACAACGCCTCATGTATCAGACTCAGCCGCTAAACGAGTCTCTTCACGGTAATGAATGCCGGGGATTGGTCAAGGGCATATGGAGTGGTGACACCAGAAGAAAGGATAGTTAAAGTCATTTTATGTGCGCTTCAGTAACTTTGGATATCAAATAAAAATCTGGGTTGTATAATCGGAACTGAAAATCCACATTTCAAAGAAACCTCCCTGACTGATATATGCTTCTGTTATCAACTGATTGTTTTACTTGCAGCTGAGACCCGTGAAGATCTGGGGTAGAATAGGTCTTCAGCAACCCATGCTTGCCGTAAAAAGCGACTATGCTTGTCGTAAGAGGCGACTGATGGGATTGGGTGGTCAGGCTCACTGACTTAGTTGATGCATGTCATTGTATCCCAATTGTGTGGATAGATGCTCATGATGTCAATCACTGGATTGTCTGGTCCAGACTCAATTAAGTGCCACCATGTTGACTTCTTACATGCTCAAGACTGTATTGGTTCAAGTGAGTTGTGTTCTTCGTCGGCATTGGGCACGAGAAGAAGAGGGCATCTTGCAATGGAATTCTTTGTGTTTCAGTTTATTCCCGACGATGCCTCGCCACAACTATCACAAAGTGGCACCACTTTGTAAATCTCTCTGTGAAAAACATGGCCTCAAGTACGAATCTAAACCGCTCTTCAAGGCATTTTCGGACATCATAGGGTAAGCAGCTGGACAATTACCCTTAGAAATTTTCCTCCCGAACCATAGTTAATTGATATTACATCAGTTGAGAAAACATCCAAATACTTTAACATAGTCTTAGGGTTTAAAAATTAAAAGAATTGGTTCTCAGGCAATGATTTTTGAAAATATAGTGTGGGTCCTTTTTTGCGGGGGGTTGTTCAAACTACTGTAGTATGTAACCAAATAAACAATTGTGTACAATCAACCTGGGAAAAGGCCTCCCAACATAAATGTATTCCTTGATGAGTAAAATACTGGAATACAGTATTTGACTACCGTTGGACTTGGAATATTTAAGGATATTTTTTTTTTCTAAATCAAAATAAAAAGGAAACGTGCGGCGAACTTTATGATGATGCAGGCGGTGCCTGAGAACCAAGACTATTTATTTTCTAGCCTTACTGTCTGTTTTGTGCCCCAATGATCAACTGCTGGTTTGCATCCAGTTATTTACAAGCCACTATGAATACAGTTGAAATATTACTAACTGAACTGTAAATACCATTCACTCACTCAAAAAATATGATCTGTATGATTTAACTTAAGACTGAATACAGTGTTCAGTAGGTTTTATGAATGCTTCTTCTACTTTCAGATCACTGAAAAGGTCGGGCAAGCTGTGGTATGAAGCATACCATATGTAACTTCAGGGTTGTAGGTGTGCATTGTGTAGTGGACCTACAGGTGTCACCACTGCCCAGCAATCAAAAGATGAAACTTGATGGCTCTCATTTTGTTAACAATCACTGATCCTTGTTGAAATGTGAGGATGTAGTTTCTTACATAAGGTACAATGGTTTATCGGGTTTTATCTTAAAAACAAGAAAAATATGACTTCGATTTGGTAATTATGAATAAGGAAGTATGAACATGAACTTGTTTTTATTTTAATTTTTGTTTTTGAACAGTTGACAATAAATAATCAGGGTATAACATCACGCTTTGATATTAATGAGAAGTGTTCAAGTACAACCGTACATGCCTTCATTGCGTGGCTAATTTAGATGCAAAGGTGTCTGGAAACACTGTCTGGGGGAGGTAATTCAAACTGCCTGGGGGAGGTAATTCAAACTGCCTGGGGCTCATTTTGACACAATGGAGCATGAGGTAGACTGCAGTTTTGCATGTTGAAATAAAAATTGACAACTGACAGTTGACTCACTGGCCCAACCAAACAACATCACCCAGCCCCATCTTCTTTTGAAATTCCTTGAATGTTGTGATTTATTCAGAGATGTCAACAGAATATGTTATTTTAAACAATATACATATTTACATGAATAGAGTGTTTATCATTTCAAACCCTTTCCATGAATTAATCAAATGTATTTACCCTGAATAGGTCTTACACCAAACTATTCAAAATGTTGATTTCCAATGTCTGAGAGCAAAAGCCATTTTCTAGTCATATTTGGAACCAATGTCATCATCATCATCATAATCGTCGACGTAGGTAATCATGAAACACCAAATCTTTCTGTTATGGTCATAATGTGTACTTACAGCTAAAGTGTATTGTTGGTACTTTAATGCGTCATTTGTGCTTTTGTTTTATTATGTACTATTTAACAATTTGTTTGGCTTCATAATGTAAATTATGGTATGTGGAATATTTTTATTATCTCAAGGGATTTGTATTGCACATGATTGAAGACTTTCAGTGTATTGTGTCTGCAACAATTTTATAGATCAACATATCAATATTTGAACACACAATGCCATTTAGAAAGTGGTCAAATGTAATAAATGTTATGTTTGCGATAACACTTTCTTAGTAAAGTACAGATTCTCATACTTTTTGGGGTTGAGTCCCGTCTGGGATTTGAACCCATGCTGCCAGAGTGAGGCACCAGTCGCCAGCACACAAAGTCAGTGATCTGACCCACTCAGCCACCGAGGTCGCCACAAAAATGAAAGTCCGACAACTGGTAGTCTAGATCACGTACTTTGTATACCCTTCCGACAAGTGTAAATATCATTATTTATCAAAGAGATCGTCAGTGTTATATTTTAATCTAAATTGAGTAAAAAACAAAACATGAAAAAAACGTTACTACTTGCAGTTTGAAGAGGTAGTTGTGGAATGTATTGTGAAGAGCATGGTCTAGTTTGATTAAAAAATACATATATGTGAAGAGTTGTGATATAAACAATTAGGCAAAGCCATATTTAAGAAAACAAAAACATCTTTTGTTCCTCAGAGAGTGAACACCTTTCGTATTTTTTCTTCTAAAATTTGAAACAAAACTCAGTAGCTGTTTAATCAAACATATCAAATGAATCTGTTTAGTTAACCCACGTTCTGGAAAGAAATTAAAGTATTTTCGTCTTAGTGAAGTGGATGCACATTTTACACATTGTTGTTCGATTCCCGGGGTGTTGGTGCCACTTTGAATTGTGCACATCAGTCGTTTAAATTGCCAATAAAAAAATAATGTTCAAATTTCCGATGTCATATGAAGCAGACTTATCCATAATGTGAACACTAATGTTTTCTGTTTGTATTAAAGAACAAGTCTAATGCGAATTCAGTCGTTGTTGGTGGTGTTGGTGTTGGCGGTATTCGTGGTGGGAATATATTTTAAATTTTGAGAATTATGTGGCCAAGATTTTTTTCTGCAGGCATAGATAGTGTAGGTTGATTCTCCATCTGTTTACTATTTAGTGTATTGATGGGGTAAACAATGCCAGTCAGACAGTTACTTTGACACTGGCGCGGCTGAAAATGCAAGTTTTCCATTTTGTCATGGCAGTGAGTAACACCAATGTGGATGGGTAAGCCTCGAAGCCGACTGGAAATTTGAAATAAAATTTAAAATTGGGCAACTGAGATATCTCTTTACAACTTTCCTCAAGTTTTGCTTGTTCAGTAAACATTCTCAAAATAACAGACTTTGCCTGTTCGACAAGGTTTCTTGAATGAATGAGGTGTATCTCCTTTCCGTTTCTTGAATGAATGAGGTGTACCTCCTACCTATTTCTTGAATGAATGAGGTGTACCTCTTACCCATTTCTTGACTGAATGAGGTGTACCTCCTACCTGTTTCTTGAATGAATGAGGTGTACCTCCTACCTGTTTCTTGAATGAATGAGGTGTACCTCCTACCTGTTTCTTGAATGAATGAGGTGTACCTCCTACCCATTTCTTGAATGAATGAGGTGTACCTCTTACCCATTTCTTAAATGAATGAGGTGTACCTCCTACCTGTTTCTTGAATGAATGAAGTGTACCTCCTACCTGTTTCTTGAATGAATGAGGTGTACCTCCTACCTGCTTCTTGAATGAATGAGGTGTACCTCCTACCTGTTTCTTGAATGAATGAAGTGTACCTTCTACTTGTTTCTTGAATGAATGAGGTGTACCTCCTACCTGTTTCTTGAATGAATGAAGTGTACCTTCTACTTGTTTCTTGAATGAATGAGGTGTACCTTCTACTTGTTTCTTGAATGAATGAGATGTACCTCCTACCTGTTTCTTGACTGAATGAGATGTACCTCCTACCCATTTCTTGAATGAATGAGGTGTACCTCCTACCTGTTTCTTGAATGAATGAGGTGTACCTCCTACCTGTTTCTTGAATGAATGAGGTGTACCTCCTACCTGTTTCTTGAATGAATGAAGTGTACCTCCTACCTGTTTCGTGAATGAATGAGGTGTACCTCCTACCTGTTTCTTGAATGAATGAGGTGTACCTCCTACCTGTTTCTTGAATGAATGAGGTCTACCTCCTACCTGTTTCTTGAATGAATGAGGTGTACCTCCTACCTGTTTCTTGAATGAATGAAGTGTACCTTCTACTTGTTTCTTGAATGAATGAGGTGTACCTCCTACCTGTTTCTTGAATGAATTAGATGTACCTCCTACCTGTTTCTTGAATGAATGAAGTGTACCTTCTACCTGTTTCTTGAATGAATGAGGTGTACTTCCTACTTGTTTCTTGACTGAATGAGGTGTACCTCCTACCTGTTTCTTGAATGAATGAGATGTACCTCCTACCTGTTTCTTGAATGAATGAGATGTACCTCCTACCTGTTTCTTGAATGAATGAGATGTACCTCCTACCTGTTTCTTGAATGAATGAGGTGTACCTCCTACCTGTTTCTTGAATGAATGAAGTGTACCTCCTACCTGTTTCTTGAATGAATGAGGTGTACCTCCTACCTGTTTCTTGAATGAATGAAGTGTACCTCCTACCTGTTTCTTGAATGAATGAAGTGTACCTCCTACCTGTTTCTTGAATGAATGAAGTGTACCTCCTACCTGTTTCTTGAATGAATGAAGTGTACCTCCTACCTGTTTCTTGAATGAATGAAGTGTACCTCCTACCTGTTTCTTGAATGAATGAGGTGTACCTCCTACCTGTTTCTTGAATGAATGAGGTGTACCTCCTACCTGTTTCTTGAATGAATGAGGTGTACCTCCTACCTGTTTCTTGAATGAATGAAGTGTACCTCCTACCTGTTTCTTGAATGAATGAGGTGTACCTCCTACCTGTTTCTTGAATGAATGAGGTGTACTTCCTACCTGTTTCTTGAATGAATGAGGTGTACCTCCTACCTGTTACTTGAATGAATAATTATTGTGTTGACTTATAGGTTTACTGTAAACCGTGCTTGTTTCTTGTGGATATGACAAGTGCCTGGTTTGGTTCAGATTATTGATTCCATCAATAAGGATAGTTTGTGCCTATTATGTAAACAAATGTACTTAATTATTATGTCTGTAACAATTCGGATATAACAAGGGGTATGGCTTGATAAATTCATGATAGAAATAATTGTAGAATATTTTTATATCAAACTAACAGGATACATGTTATTATGTCATCTTTTTACACACACAGTTTGATGCTTTTCATGTGACCGGTGATTGTTAGTGGAATAAAGTGACTTACAAAATGTTTGGATTCTTTGTGATTTGATATTTTATGATGAGCGGACGTCCAACAAAGGCATACTGCAGCGTGACACAACCATGCTATGTGTAAAACTTTGTGACTTGGTTGATTGCAAATTAGCGTGGGAAGTTGCTCTCAATCACCGATTTGTCTGACACAGATTATATTTACAGCCTCCCGGCATTTAGCTGGAATATAGCTGGATGTGGTGTTAAACAACAAACACACTAAACTTTATGTGGATGCAAACATCCAATTTGGATCAAATCACAGACGTTCACTATCGACACTTCACTATTAATGACCACAGAATTCTTACTATTAAGGACTGCAGAATTCTTACTATTAAGGACTGCAGAATTCTTTCATTTTGACCAGTCATTGACAACGCTTTCATTTTTGAGACTCTACGTTGAGTGAAACGATCGTCTGTTCCAATTTTTGTAGGACAATGCATTCCTTGACAATGTGTAGAATGATGTACAGCAAATCATCCTAACGAACTCACATGGCCCACCTACCGTGGGGATTCATGGCAGAATACGTCGCCAGTGTCCCATGCTTGCAAATGTCTTCTAATGGGGATCTGTGTGTGCGTGTGATTGTGCAAGCCCACTGAGATACCATGCCACAATTTGACATAGGTACTACAGTCCGACACAGTATACTGACTCTGAGCCGTCCACTACTTTATTAGTGCCGAGCGCCAGGGTAACAACAATTACCAACATCTTTTGGTATGATGCGTCCAGGGGATCAAACCAACGACTTTCCGCTCTCCTGGCAGACGCTCTATTCACTTGTCTACAGAGTCGGTCCGAAATATTCCGACTTTCAGTTCTTACAGAGGAAACGATATCAATATTATCAGATCACAAAGATGACGTTTTGAGATTGGAATTATACATAACCATGTTGAACAGCAACTGGAAATTGGATTTTTCTCTGCAAAGAAAATTATTTTGCTTTTGCTCCGTTATTTTTAAGGAATGGCAAGGAGGAGACTAGCTGGACTGCATGTAGGTTGTAGCAACAAGCTGCGTAACAAAACACATGAATTTGATGTACAGGAAACTAAGACAACTAATCGTCCAGTAATGACAGGTGATGAGACGAGTATGCGAGTGTGTATGTTGTAGCAACAAGATGCGTAACACAAAACATGAATCAGTTTGAGTCGAGTCCGATCCAGAAAAAAACCCAAAGTTCCTTCATCGCATGACCCTTGGGCAGCCATCCAGAAAGGCGGGTAAGATGACACACATCGACCAGGCAACACACACTGGAATGACACTCAGCAACATGCCTGTTTGTTTGTTTGTTTGTTGTTTAACGCCGCTCTCAGCAACATTCCAGCTACATGACGGCGGTATGTAAATAATCATGTCTGGACCAGTTAATCTAGTGATTGACATCATGAGCATCAATCTACGCAACTGAGATACGATGACATGCATCAAGCAAGTCAGCGAGCCTGATCACCCGATCCTGTTAGTCGCCTTTTACGACAAGCATGGGTTGCTGAAGACCTATTCTACCCCGGATCTTCACGGGTCCAGCCGCTAGTGGTGATGTAATTCGAGATGAGCTCGAGAGAGGCACACACTTGCCTCCTTATATAGTCCAAATCCCTTCTAGATCGTTCTATACCAGGCTGGATTAGACCAGCTGTACTGAAAGATTCCAGATTACACTTGACTCCAAAAAGCATCTTAATATAGTAACTCCCACACAACTCTTTACATTAGATAGTAATGCATTCCTGACAACTAATTATTGTTAAATCACAATATTATGAACTTCTACTGAATCTTAACAGAACCAATGTAATACAATTACAAAATTGTTTAACTGTAAAGTAAACTGCCATATTACAATCCCCACTAGGTGTTTTGTATGAACCGCTAAAGTGTAATTTTACAAACAAATATGGGCAATAGCTATATTATTCAAGACAAATTGTCAACCTCGATGAATATTAAGAAAGACCCTTGTAAAATGTTCCCCACATAAAACCAAAATATTTTTTTCCCCTGAAAAGTTGTTTCACAGGATGATTGGACCCCAGTTGCTGTATTTCATTCCCTGGTCACGGCAAGGATGGTAAAGTCAGCGTTTTAATGCTTCGCCAAACTAATTGAGATTTGGATTCTTCAGTCATCACCTTCTAGGTACGATGCTATCAAATGGATTGACAGTTTATTTTCTTAATGAACTATATGGATCACACACAGCCACGTGCGTATTTAGTAATACGAAATATCACGAGTGCACGTAATGATAACTGAATTGCGTATTACATATATGCCATACACCACTTGTGAGTGAGATACAGTTTAAGCTGTGCTGGTAATTGATCAGCTATAGAGCGACATCTGTACACCCACATGATGACACTTTGTAGCTTGATACTTGTATATTAGTGATTACAACATCTGCTGCCGACGGCAATGTGTTGTGTAAATATGGATGGCACTGATTCACACTCGTAAAAGCATCCAATCCTCACGTGACTATCTGTTTCTGCTAAGGTATTGATTTCAGGCACCGCAGTTTGTTTGTTGTTAGAAGTCGCACTCATAAATATTCCAGCTATATGACGGCGGTCTGTAAATAATCATGTCAGACCGTTTGTTTTACAACCTTGTTGTTGCTTTATACTTGACTGCCATTATGGTCGTTGAAAACATAGAATATTTCCGTATATAACGTTAAGTCAAACGCATTCAATATTGTTAAACATCCAACCTGTTCCCATCTTCCCGAGGCAAGGGCGTTAAAAGTCCAGTTTCCACCCTTGCCGAGCTACGCTGGAATTTCCAGTGGCTATTACTAGTTATGCCTCTTCTATGTCCCTCCTATTGACCAATCAGATTCCATCACTCATATCACTTGCAGTCTCTTCAAAAAAATGGCGGCGCCTAGTCAAAACGATCTGATAGATAATCAAGATCCATATTTGTAATAAAACGGGTCTTACGCTGCGAAGTGCATCAAATCACTTGAGCACCTTGATTAAAAACATGAAAACATATCTGGCAAAATATCTGTCGACGCCCAGTTGGCGGTAAACATGCTCTTCAAATCCTGCAGTCGACCGAAATCTGCACGTTGAAATCTATGTAGTTCGTTACGCGATTTTGATTGGACTGTGCATAGACTCGTTAGACCAGCCAAAATGTAACTCCGGAATACCAGCCTAGTTCGGCAAGGGAGGAAACTGGACTTTAAAAGTCAGGTAACGCCCTTGCCTCGGGAAGCTGACCTGTTCGCGATATCTCCGGTTTATACTTCTCTTGTGGCAGTACCCCTGTGTCAAGGAGAGATCATGATGTGGTTAGAAACGTTTACGTTACCCAACAAAATGCCCCTCGCGCTATGACATTTCTTACAGTCCTACTAAATAACGTCTGGGAGAGTCCGGAAACGTCTTTGTCTGATAGAATTAAATTTAAATTATCTTCCAGATCAGCACATGCCTCTTAGATCAAGACGACGGTAGCAGTGGTGAAACAAGACAGAGACCAAGGATTCAGTTATCCCCATCTCGCCTCCAACATCAGTCTGGGGCACGGGTGGCCCAGTCGTCTAAGAAGCCGCGATTCGATGTGCAGAGTTGCGACCCTTGGACAGCCAGAAACCTATGATTGGGTTCGAATTGAGGTATGAATCGAAAAACCGATGTGCAAACCTTTGTAAGAATCCACTACGCGGATTCATACAGTTTAAATACAGGGAAACTTTCGAAATTCGAACGGTACCGTCACCAGTGTATTCGTAGGGATAAAACCTTTTCCAGATCGACGAGTAAGGGGTAAATGATATTGTCCCTCTGTGTTCGGGAAGGACGAGCTCTGGATTAATTCGGTCCAGCCGAATTGCGTTTCACTGTTCTCTAAATCTCTGTGTTCAACGAATTAAGAATTAATGTCATGCATTTGCTTCTATTTATATTGAGACAATGTACAAAACAACAAACGCGAAGACAGGATTGACACATTTTAATAAATGTCATGAAATGCCTATTGCTTGTTAGCGTGGACAAGGTGACCAGAGAACACCGTAAATATGTCATGTCTGATAGGACTATTTTTCCCATCATCCCAGATCTTCCCCACTCTGACATGGCTCCCTCTCCTGACAGAAGTTGTCACCACCATTGAGCATGTTCCTCGGTTTCGTACTGCCATCCTTGATTCAACCTTGCCTTCATTGAATATGGCAAAATCTGACCATCCGTCTTCAAAAATCTCAATATTGAATGCGAATAGGTATGTTCCTGTAAACACAAAATATAATCTGTGATAAACACAAGCTATAGCAATCTAAAACATACACTTGATACAGTTGAAAATTACTCAGGTAGATGTGACGTATCCAGAAAGAATCTATATCCACGTATGTTCTACAGTGGGACGGTTAAGGCTGGATTTTAGTCATAATTGTGCACTTTGGGTTAAAAGCACCAAACTCGGCACACTTATACATTGAACCATTCCGAACATTTCTGGATATAGATCCTGGTGGCTGAAAATCCAAGATGGCCGCCAACTCGGCTGAAGTCTCTACTGATGTCAATCTATGCTCAATGTATCATAAATATCTGGTCAAATTCAGTAATTTATTGAGGGTAAGTTAAAAAAATGATGTATCTAATTTAAATCCATTATGCGGCGCCAAGATGGCCACCAAAATGACTTTCAGAAATTGTCAAATATCTGTTAACAAGAACAATATTATTTGTTCAATTCAATTCAATTTGGCTTTAAAACAATTAAACAAAATGTTTGACTGAATGTTTTAGCTTTTGGTAATAAAATTCTTTTACCTGAAATGACATTTCAAATATTACACTTTGTTCTTTATAAACTAATGAAAAAAGAACATGGAATGATGAATACATAGATCCATTTAATTATGTTTGACAATGTTCATTGTGTTACAGATCGCGCCAGTAACAGGTTATCCAGCATAAGACACACTGCTCACACAATGCTCACACATTGCTCACACATTGCTTACTGAACAACTTATGGACGTCACCTATCGGTGAAAGTCGTCGGGACACAATGACACACAGCCATGTCAGACATTCGTGGTGGCTCTTTCATCAAACATGACGTACTGGACACCTATAAAGCACCCGGGCCTACAAAACAGTAGATATCTAAGCTTATTATGTTTTGCGGGTAAATCTGTCTTACTGAGAAAGATTATTTCACATTATTTGATTCATTTAAAATTTCTCTTGAATCTTTTGCTTGCAGTTATGGACTCTTTTGTATGCGTGATGTAAATAATTATGAACTGCTCGAGGCCACGTTCTTACACCTCGGTATGCAAACACCTATATAAAACATATAAAAGACAACATAAAAAGGCTTAAGAGAGAGTTAATAAATGCAAACTTTGGACAAAATTATTTTAAGTGTTGTCTCCACCTTTAAACAAAATCACCAAAGTGTACTCTCCGTTGTAACAAAATTTATCTCTCTAAGAGAATAGTCATAAAATAGAAGCCTTACTTAACACAAATCAAATAATCAACAGCAACCTAAAATCTGAGAAATGTATAAACCTATAATAAATTGGGAGATTGTCTCCCTACTGTGCCTCTCGTCGCCTTGCTTTTAAAAATGTACTGGTTGGTTCCTCTGATAATAAAGTTTTTAGTGTGAAACATAAAGTGATTCAAACAGCAAAAATGCGGTATATGTATTATATATGAAGCGGGTGTAAAGAAAAGTACATCCCTGGAAACCCCTTTTCATCTATCAGCCTGTCTGTTCTTATTCAAATGTAACATTTGAGACTGAACAATGATTCTGGAAAGTTTATTTCGGAATGCACATGTCGAATATAGGAATCCAGTATCTGGTTTCCCGACCCTGCTACTTCTAATTCCACAACCTTTGCCAAAGGGTCAACGTTAACTGTTCAGTTTTACTTGGGACAGTTTGTATCCATTGCCTTAATCCCGGTCTGTCATACAGAACCCGAAACAAATTAGGGCTGGGACGGGTAACTCGTGTACCCGGGTTGGGTGGGTACTGAGTAGGACCCGGGTACCCACAGGACTACCCGCACCCGTGGTTAGTCGCGTGATATATTGTTTATTGACAAAATATATCTAGAACTCTATGGTTACACTACAAGTCACTAATGATCGCATTTCTTTCTGACTATGCACCCATTTCTTCTGATTTTTCACATGGTTGAATAAAGATATAACTTAATTCAACTTCAGTGTATGAATGAACAGATTGTTTAATACATGTGTTTAAATACCTTTTGCCAAGGCTATTCTGAAAATATTCCCAATCGGACATGTTGAGACGTCTCCTGAGACCTACAGTGGGTACCCGGGTAGGGTCGGGTAATAAGGGAGTGGGTACCCGGGTAGTTAATTTGGACTCGTTCCAGCCCCAAAACAAATATATTCAATAGCCCATGCAAGTCTAAAATATTTGGCCAGTTTAGATTACTGCAGTTTCAAAAATGAAGAAAGTCTCTTGGCACAAAGTATGATATGTAATACCTATTATCTATAACCTTTCTTCTGTAAAATTTGTTTATTTCAGAGACTAGATGTTAGTTAACGTCAGTTCATACATTATTTTTTTAAATAAATGATTGATCAATGCTACACTGATATAAAACTTTATAATCGTAATACTAAATATATATATCATCACTATGAAGGCAACGCATTGCCTACAATTCCTGCAGAAAACATTGATGCCCTGAAAGTTAGCCACACAGCAAAGTACTTTACATTACACAAATATGTATATTGTAACATGAGGCCAAAAAGAAAGAGTTGCGGTTCAAAATAAAAACATACCTTGGTTCAAGGAAGAGAACTTATGGATGTCAACTTCTTTATTATGAGGAACACAACGTTTTGGAGTATAGGGTCACTCTTTTATCACAAAGGTGAATATATGCTATGAGTGAATGAGATGGGTTTAACGCCGCTTTTAACAGTGTTCCAGTTATATCACGGCGTGTCAGCTTAATGTGGGAGGAAAGCCCGAAGTGATGCAGGTCTCAGACGTTAACCACTTCGGTGAAACCCACGAGCACGGGTATGGTGCTGACAAACCTAGAAACATAATCGGGGCGAACCAGGATTCGAACCCACAATCACAGGTTTCTGACGTGCCCGATGGACGACTGGGCCACCCGTTCCCCCTGATATGATCAAATGTCCGGTACCTGAAACAGGAGCGCGAAACACTCCAGATGTTGGGTTGTATCCATGACCATTTGTGCCTTCCACCTTATCAAATATCACCGTGCTTCCCGATCCAAATCTTCTGCTTTGTGAAATGTAGGCCTTGAAATATAACCCAGTTTCGAGACCTAAAATAAAAACATAACCCTTCAACAGAAACAAATATATTGGATCTTGATTTTTTTATATGTCATACATGTTGAATTAGTAATCGAAGCAAATGTCATCTGAAGTTTACTGAGAAAACAATACGCGAAACAGGGGATTTCATCATTGATAACATATATGTGAAATTCGAGGATAAAACATTTATGTTTGATGTAGGCATCCCCAGCGGCAGCAGTAGTCCAGCCTAGCCTTTTGTGTCTGTCACAGCTTTTGGGGTACAACAGAGCATCCTTTTGTCACGAAGTTTTCAAAAAGCGTCATGCGACTATTGCTCAAAACGTGTTTGATCAGGGTTACAACGTTCAAGGCCTTGTAAATGTAATGTAAGCCGCATCAGTATCAATCGGGGTATATGTGGTGTTATGTGTGGACGCGTGGACGCACAAAACCACATTTACCTCGTGTAATACTGCTACGAATTTATCTTGCCGACATGTTTCAATCTGTCATTGTAACCAAATTATTGCCGATAAGACTTAACAAACTCAATCACCCTGCTATTGTAAAATGATTAAAACAAACTGAAAACTAAGAGAAAAGCAGTTGTTCGAGCTGTTGATGTAAACTTGTGCTGTGTCACGTGACTTTCATTCACTCTTACACAATGTGCAGCTTTTTGTTTCGTAGCGGAGTGCAAACGATTTAATGCCTTGCTAAAAAATTCCAAACGATTTATTGCCTTGCTAACAAAATCCAAATGCAATTTCCTTCGTGGCGGGGTATATACAAGGTATTTATTCTACCGCTCAAATATGTCTTTCCCTCCCATGAGCTATGTAGTATTTTAGCATGATCAAGTGAAACAATCAGATCTCAACATTCTGACATTGACGTAAGATATAAAAAATACAGTAGACACGTGGAGGACATTTTATAATTTATGAAATATGAGTAATTATTTATATCGGAATGACCGTAATCCATTGCCACAATCCCTGAAATGAATTGAATTACAGAAAATACAATGCTGCCAATATGCCTGTAGAAAAAAATAATAACAACGTATAACCATATTGCGATGATGTTTCACCGAGGTTGGCTTCATGTAAATACATGCACTGCCAGTGAATTACATATTGGAAACACATATACGAATATCCCTGTGACGGGTTTTTATAAAATCAAATTACATTTGGTTGATCCAGTCAGCTAAATTCTGACCGGTTTGTCTGGTGATTGAATTGTCTCAGTTTTAAACATGTCTACAATAATATATTTTTGTTTCAGGTATAAATTGCACATTAACATTTATGTTTAACACAGAAATCACACAGTCCATATTGGTCAATAGCATGTAGCCTATATGTTTTTTTTATGATAATGACCGTTCCGGTAAGGTATTAAACCTATATACTGTTCTATAAATGAGCCAGTGTTAGGCAATATAATGTGGCACGTCATGATCAGTATTGTCTGCTTCTACCTATAGTTTATTTACATATGAATGTCTTCATAATAAATTCATCAATGTATGTGATTTATCGAATAAAAGAAACCCCACAACTATGACCATTTTTGGAGAGTCACGTGACCTTGATTGTGTCCTCTCGGAAAGGACTATCTGTTAACATACGATTGATTTATGTCTTCCAGACACAGTTGAACAAACAATAATACTTTTTTAAAATCACCAATTACGAGTGAATGCATAAAACATTCTTGTGTCGAAACATCCAAAACAGTCATCAACGTCTCATACACCCCATAAAGCGAGTTTAAAATAAATCAATCTGACAGATAAGCTAATCTACATTCTGAACGCATAAATCAAATGTTAACTTCAGTTTATAACATTCATACTTACTTGACGTACTTCTGTCTACACCAAGGGCAACAAAGCAGATAAAGGCAGTCACCCAAGCTGATGCCATGACGCTATCCTAGATTGATACAACTGTCGTTACTGATGCAGCAATAACCTAATGGTTCTTATCAACAAGCTACTATATATGCATATATATGCATGACCGCGTGTTTTCCTGTTGAAAAAAGGCGGAGCTAATTTTCACGTATGTTTGAAGTTGGTGAGTAAATAGGAAAACATTCAACTTGCATACAAAAGTGTTACTTTATGGATAACACCTTCTTGGTTATTGCATTTATACCAGAAGTTGTTATCTATAAAGTTGTATGTTGTCTTATATGTTATGCGTAGTTAATCAAATATATTTGGTTCGCATATTACAAGGTTTAAAACCATATGAGATTGCAACAAATAAGATTTATTTCCTTCATCTGATAGCTGTAATGAAATTTAAAGAAGATCGCTGTCCCATTTTGAGTTTAAAACGTTCATATTGTCAATACGCACATGTACATGTAGAAGTTCGTACACAACTTGGTTAAACAGATAACTTTCCATTCAGCTGATTCAACAAATATTGATTTGGCCGAGCTGTACACGTATACGTGTAGGCTGTAACTGACAACAACGCCGATCACTTTCCACACTTCCTAACATGCATACTTAAGTTTGATCACATGAAGAGAAACGTTAACGTGAAATGTATGTGATTAGCTGGAAAACGTTGTTAAATGGGATTTGAACACAGAAATGGCTTTGATAAATGTGGCTTTGATCAGTGTTTATGCGGGTAACGTGGATTTAGTTAATATCTTTCCTCCACATCTTCCTTATCAGGAGGGTTCAGTTGTTACAGAAGGTATGACCTTATCCATTTATTAATGACGTCATAGTATTACAGAGTAATAAAATATCTGTCTCACAACTGTGAGTGTTTACATGAAAAGACGCGTTACTTATTTTACAATGTCAGTTGAGATGTGTGTTTTTGGAGTTGTGGTTGTCATTGAGAATGTGATGAGCGACAAGATTTTGCGTTATTTTTCGTGCTCAGTACTGACGGTAATGCAGATTTGATTCTCCCGTTGGTATGACTAAAATATCATTTGGTGTTGAATCACATCATCCTATAAGCAAACAGTGAGGCTTAAAATCAATAACATCTGCTACACAAATATCACACCTCTCTATTAACTGTGAGTGCCATTTCAATATGATATGAAGTTGAAAGTATTGTTTCGCACCCTTTGAAAGGCCCCCATCACGTATGCGATTAGGTGTTGCTTTTAAATCAGATGTGGTTTTGATATTTCGATATTCATATTTCCCTTTTCAGAATATCTGTTGAAATGTCTTTGATATGATTTTCGAAGTAAAACACATTTACAGCACATGTGAAACGCTAGATGCATAATGGCATATGGCAAGCAGAACAGTTGACAAAAGAACAGTATTATACGGTGGCCCATAAGGGAAATGGAGTCTGTTTTTCCATATTTTGATGTTTCACTTACTTTTATCGTAACCTTTAGCAAATTAACACTATTTGTCATACAAATATGTAATAAATCATGTATAAAAACAACCGAAAACATGGAAAATGTACTTTCAAGCAGCTATTGAGTCGCTGAAATGTGAAGCGAAAATGTCAAAAACTAAATTTGAAATGTCAAAAAACAAAAGCGAAAATGTCAAAAACCAAAATGAAACCACAGAAAACTATTTCCACCGCGGTGTAAATATTATCACCGCGGTGGAAATAGTTTTCTGTATTTATTCATTTTAGTTTTTGACATTTTCGCTTTTGTTTTTGACATTTTCATTTTAGTTTTTGACATTTTCGTTTTTGTTTTTTGACTTTTTCATTTTAGTTTTTGACATTTTCGTTTCAATTTTCTGCGATTCAGTATCTTATTTACACATGATTTATCACATGTTTGTAAGACAAATCGTGTTAATTTGCAAAAGGTAACGACAAAAGTAAGTGAAATATCAAAATATGGAAAAACAGACTCCATGTCCCTTATGGGCCACCGTAGTATTATGACATTATACTAAAATTGACAAAGGTGATGGTAAAAAGAACAATCTCGAGTGTCCGAAAGCGTGCCGGCAAAACGTTCACGGCGACGTCCGTACACCTGGCTATACAACAGCTCGATACAGCTTACATCTTGACTGACACTGCACCGAACAGTTCTTCATCGCTGCTTAGTTAATATTCTGTATAATTTATACCGCTGACGTTGAATTTGACGATAAACACAACACCTCCGACAGGACGTTTAGACTGTATGAAAAGAGGGATGACTCATTGTAGACGTATGGAGGACATTTCGAAATTTGACCCATCAATCACAAAAATGATGCAATTATCTGTTTTGACCTGTTCCATATTTTTTTGGGAACTATTGACTTGTATTCTGAATGAGTGCCAAATGCACTCAAAGATTACTCCACCTTTGTGACCAACAAATTATTTAATTCAGTGGAATTACAGAGGTATTAGGGCCAATTTTATAGAGTAACATTTATTCATACAAGATTATAAGTTATCAGCAATCAGAGACATACTAGTATCTTAAACAAACAGACGCATTTAACCTTAGAAAGTACAACTGTTGTCGTCATTCATTTTCTCTGACTGGAAGCTCTACTAATTTAGTCAGGCAGGACGTCATTCATAGTAGTGTTCATTTAAATACTACTCTTCAAGCTGTTGCTATCCGCCTTATAACGCGCATTGCATATATTTTGTGCTCTTTGTATATCCCACATTCCCCTGCTCTTCGACTGTCTGATCTTCAGAATATATTTGATCAGCTCCCTAAGCCCTATTGCGTGCATCACCATAGCTATTTAAATGGTAAAAACCCTCTATGGAGAAGAGTGGGGACGTATAAACGATAAGGGGAACGTCAATGAAGATTTTATTTCTGATCATATTTTATGTGTATGTAATGATGATTCAAGCATCTATTTACATCCTGGCACTGAAACTGCCCTTGATCTGTCGCTCACAGATTCAAACATTTACAAGGAATCTGAATGGTCTGTGTATGATGACCTTTGTGGAAGTGACCATTTCTTTCTATCCTAAAAACTATGGAACCGGATGATGACCCCCGTTCATTAATGTGGTATTTTACGACGGCCAAATGGTCCTTGAATGAAATATTATGTGCTGAGAAATTATATCTGACAATTATAGAAATGTACCAGATCCCATACATTTGTTTTCGTCCAAGGCATGACGTGCTTATAAACAAAAAGAAAACACCAATCCTGGACCCGCACAAGGTGTGGAATATGGTTAAAAATATGAGGCAAAGGTTCAAAATCTTCTGTATTGCATCTTAAGGAAGGTGACAAATTACTCACTGATAAATCTGAAATTGTAATAAACCTTTGGCAAACATTCTTCACCATCAAATTTTGTTCCTGGATTTAAAAAATATCAGAAACAACAGAAAAGGAATCCTTTGCTATAATAAACAAACAACACACAATATCCATCTTCTTTGATCTTGAGAAAGCATACGATACTACCTGGAAGCATGTCATTTTAAAGGATTTACATGATTTACTTGAGAGGTGTTTTACCTCATTTCATTTCACAGTTTTTAACAGACAGGCAATTTCAAGGTCGACTGGGTTCCACCCAGTCTGACCATTATAATCAGGATAAGGGTGACCCTTAAGGTGGTATTTTGTCTGTCACTCTTTTTAGTATAAAAATAAAATGAATTAAGTGATTCAGTATATAGATAACCTTTTGTGGAAGATTTTATTATTTCTTGTCGTGGTAAAAATATGCATACAATAGAGAGGCAGTTCTGTCTCAATAAAATTCATGAATGTTCCCTTTAAAACTGGTTTAAGTTTTCTAGATAAATAACCAACTGTATACATTTCTGAAAAAACATATATGGACCCTGAACTAGTTTTGAATAGCTCCCTTCTCAATGTTCTCAATGAGACTTATTTATAATAACGTAAACGATGAGAGGTTACGTCAGTTCAACGTCATTTCTTCTCTCTATGGTTTTAATCGTAGTATGTTTGTTAGTTTTAATTGTTTGGCATAGCTTTTAAATAATCGCCATTGACGAGAGGGATGGTGTAAATCCTGCTAGGGTACCATTCAGGAAACAGATGTAGCGTATGTCCACATGGTCCAACGTATGGTGGCCATACTTTGGTTGCTGGTGGTCCATAGCCCACTTTTATAATGTATTGTTATGAAGTCATTTTGTATGGTTATATACAAGTTTTAAATTTACATGTGTTATAATGTAGTTCTTTAGCTGTCCTTTGTCGTCAGGTTTGATGGTCTAAATTTATGTATTATTCATGTATAACTTGATTTTGTGACGATATGGCGGAGAAATTGCCGATGTGACTATAAATCTTAACTCACTCACTCTGATACAACACGCCCCAGGCACAGGTCTTGTGAAAATCTGACTCTGTTTGAAGCTGAACCATAAAGGTTCTTGCAACTATATGTGACTATTGATGAAGCCTAAATGGCTCACAACTCCTAGCCAACAAGATTCCTGAGATGCTGAGGGTGTCATCATGGTGGACTATCCTCCAAAATACTAGACAAAAAACGAGGTATATTATGCTGGACCTATGAGGCAAATATGGGATTGAATTACACCTAAGAGACGGAGGAAGATGGGTAAGAGTGTGCTCTTCAAAAAGGACAATGCTACAATCAAAGAGTGTGGCTTTGTTCTCATTCAGCATCAACCATATTCTCCTGTCGGATTACCAGCTGTTTCAGCTCCATCTGGAACCCATTTCAACTAGAACGATGACGTCACAGTAGATGTGGACTGTCGATTAAACAAATATCCATCACAACAACAAATGTCAAGGCAGAAAACAACACTATGAAGGAACACAGACTCGATCTCTTTGGCCTTCGACCACTATAGAGAAAGCCAGACACTGTAACCTGTAAAATAAGATCTGTAGCCTCAGAAATACAAGCCAGAAATCCTTTCGATTGTACAATTCCGACTAAATCATTAGCATGTGTCTACGAACAGTGAATAGTGATGATACAAGGTAATCACGAAAAGGTGAGCGTATCCTGCCCCACCAGTGGCATCCGTCAAAAGAAATATTTTAGAATTCAGTGTTTTGAATATTACACCTTGTCACGAGGGACGTGTGGGCCGAGATTTTTGTTGGGTTGATGTTCGGTTGCTGTCGTGATTTGCGACGAATGTCGCCTGCTGTTTGGCCATCAGGAATACAATTTCACCTTAAAATAGTTGGGAAGTTTAACGCTTTCTGATTAATTATAATCAAAATTTATACTGTTTACTTAATAGTAAGCATTTTAAATCAACAAAAACAAACATGGATGGCTGTTTTTTTTAGCAAGCTTTAAGTAATCAAGTAGTAATGTGAGCTTCGACAGTATCTGTCATTTCCTAACGAGATTTATTGTCCATGGAGCTATAAAAGGCGGCGATACAATGATTTGATCAGTCTGTTGCCGCACTATAGACATGATGAAGTTCAGTTTCTGCATGTGTCTTTGCATTGTTGTGAGTTCATGGACTGTGTTGCAGGTACAAGGGGGAGGTGAGATATAGATGATAAGATTGTTGATGGAAGTCGTCATATAATCATATTTAAGTGAGTAATTAATAATTGAGATAAAGATATTGAATGTATTTTGAAGTCTTAGATGTATGTAAATAAAATATACGTATAACATGAAGTTAATTCCAGCTTGTATCTAATTGCTCCTTTTGCGTATTTATATTTTCTATTGGGCGATGATGTTTTTGTTTTCTCAATGAAGAGCTTTGTTACCCGTTGCACAGTGAGGCTCCCAATGTGTGATGAGCAGGTTACGCTTTTTACCAACAACAGATGATATGTAACTAACATTAATTTAAATTTTAACATATTAAATGAATATAGATTCAATGTGCAGATAGAATATTTCATTTTGAAAGGAGAGCATACATGTATACACACCGTTTTGTGCACTGGGTACAGTTAATACACAATCCTTTATGGTGATGGGCACAAGCCAAACCCTGTTGTCTTTGCTGGTGGTATATGTGTGTAACTTTCAGTTTTCATTTCTTCGACTACATAAATGCTCGTGGATAATGTGGATAAAGTGTGTTTTAAATTGTAATGAGTTTTAAAAAGCATGTTGCATGAAAGATGTGTACAAGCTAGAATCATATGAAAATATATTAATTTTGAGAAATGAAGTGTTGAATGATGAGCAGTTCAGAGGATAACTCTTTGAAATATGTATACTTTGCCCGAAGACGCCCCTCGCGTTACAGACGCCACATCACTACAGACAATGAATGAAATCTAGTAAATCACAAATGTTTGATAAGCAGAATCAATAAGATTGACATGCAAAAATGGCCCACAGAGATTAATCGACCTTCCTTGAAAGTGTCAAAATCAGGAACAAAAAAAGGAACTACCTACGCACATGTATGGTGCTACTGCGTGAGGCACGTGCAAACTATAGGATGTGTTTTGTTGTTTTTTACAGACATAAACGCTCATGCACATTTGTCGTCAACACGAATCTTTGTTCAAATACTTAGTATTAACATTTATATGTATGTATTTTCATGTATTCTTTTAAATCAGGGAGTGATTTCTAAATAACTTTCCTCATATAATAATTAAAAAGATAGGAGAATGAAATTATATAAAAGTATCATAGGATGCATATGGCATCAGCTGGAATTATATCATATTTGTAACAGTTTTGTATTTTGCCAAATAAAAATAATAAAAACTCGATTCTCTATCAAACATACACATCTATATGCATGAGAAGTTTTGAACTGGTGTACTATTGAAATTGAGGAGAAGGCTGAACAGCCAAACATGAAACAGCCGCCAAAGTCATTGCCCTGCCAATATAGGACATAGAGCAGATTTAATCATGTATTCTCTGAATTTATTTGAGTATTTTGTATGCCAGGAGAAATACCAGATTTTATACTGTAAACTCAAATTAATCTATTCAAGTAAAGCCCCGTCCTGTTAGATTCAGGTGACTAAAGTTTACATAAACGTCCTTTTACCCACGTGACACCAATAAGTATGGCTATGGTGCTGACAAACCCGTCTGGGAGACTCGAGCGAACTAAATGCATTAGGAGTTCCTTTCAGAGCTGAAGACCCAAACACTACACAGCAACTTCAACCGGTGTCTTACATTCCCCGAGGCCGAAAGCTGCGTAATATAATGTTACAAATCCTCTGCACTCACTTCATGAACAATGTCCTATTTACAATCACTGGTTGGGATGTTGATAATTATTATCCATTAAGACATTAATTAACCTGTTCTAACTCATCTGTACGAGACAACATTTCAGCCGCCTATATGGATGATAAATATGGTTCAAACATACGTGTCGTCTAGAAACATTGGTGTAGAATATAAACCCAAAGTATTTCCGGTTAGTAATTATATTCCTACAATCAATATAAGCACAAAAATGTTTAAAAAAAATCATTTCCAGTTTCAAGTTGTACGTTATGGATACGAAGGATTCAGAACAACATTTTTCGTTGCATTATGCCTGGAATTGTCCATTTCCCTTCAGATCCCTGGGTGTACTTCGCAACAAGGCTTGGTCGTAATACTCGATTTGGTCTTGGTAGCGCTGTTGTATTCGATAGAGTGGCGGCAAACATTGGTAATGGATATAACCCAACATCCGGGATATTCACCGCTCCATTCTCAGGTAAGATACATGGTCATTTCTGAGGCAGCAAACTGACTATTTGTCCTTACTGTTTTGTTAATGTTTCGTTATTTCCGATGCCTTTGTTTTGCACGTTTTGCAACAGACTAATCTTAATATATGACCTGATTTGAAGTTCGTAAATAGACTTGCCACAGTTAATTCAAAGCAGTGTGCTATCCAGTACCACTCTTATCTTTTATATTGCAAGCACTAAAGAGACACGATCGATAGCACACGACATGATCCATGTTTCTAAAATATCTACATCAGGTCCCTTTATATCGTTGTTGCGTAATCGCAAGTAGTAATTTGACATATAGATTTTACGATAACTGTTGGGTAAAGGTAAGGGGACTGGATTTATTTCTCAACAACCCGATAGTGATCATACATAAATATCACAAAACTACATGGAGTACCGTATTATTGAATTATGATACTGTTTCAGGTTATTACGAGTTTAAATGTCAGCTTCTGGCCTCCAGTCCAGGATGCTTTGAATACGCACTAGTGAGCCAGGGATCCTACAAAGCAATGATCCTGTTTCCAAAATCTTCCTTAGCCTCTAAAACCATGAGCGCCATCTTCCATGTCACAGAGGCGGTCGGGTAGCCTAGTGGTTAAAGCGTTCGCTCGTCACGCCGAAGACCCGGGTTCGATTCCCGACATGGGTACAATATGTGAAGCCCATTTCTGGTGTCCCCCGCCGTGATATTGCTGGAATATTGCTAAAAGCGGCGTAAAACCATACTCACTCACTCACTCACCCCATGTCACAGCAGGACATCACGTCTGGGTTTAAAGTCACCACAACCCTGGAACGCTTCGAGGTGGCATATGGTCCCAATTCTCGGGCGCCTAGTTCGTAAGATTAATTCCACTTGCAGGATGATGCAAATATGTACGCCGTCATAGCACGTTAATAAAAGCGACAAAACCCTTTCTTTTCCGTTATCATTGCATGATTCCGACTATATCATAAGTTTGTGGCTATGAACCACTGTCAAATAGTCAAGTATTCACATGAACAAACACGGGGAACATATGGTAAAGTCAAAATAGGGAATTTGATCGGACATCATTTTGGACACTGATGCGTCAAATTTAGGAAATGTCCTCATGTCTACCACAAAACTAATTGAATGCTTTACTGTGGTCTCGGATGCTGTAACCCTGCTTAAATAACTTTTGAGTCGTAGGTCGCAGTTCAGTGCACTTCTAGTTCCTGGGATATAGAAGCCGTCGTGAGGGCCTTCTATTGCGTCATAACCTTTACCTATGTTAATATAGATGTGTTCAATGTGTATCAACAGAGTTAATGTTCTTAATGAAGATGTGTAATTAGTAATACGAAACAAACGCGAGTCCACGTAATCATTATGGTGATATCTATTGCATGTTTGTATACAAATATACCATGTGTACTAGTACAGTAGACTACGTTTATAACAAACACGCTTATAACGAACTAACGGATATGACGAACTTACTTTTTTGTACCACTGCTGTATATATGCTATACATATAACAAACACGCTTATAACGAACTAACGGATATGACGAACTTACTTTTTTGTACCACTGCTGTATATATGCTATACATATGCCTATGACGAACTACAAGCCAGAAACCTATGATTGTGGGTTCGAATCCCGGTTCGCCCCAATTATGTTTCTAGGTTTGTCAACACCATACCCGTGCTCGTGGGTTTCACCGAAGTGGTAAATGTCTGAGACCTGCATCACTTCGGGCTCTCCTCCCACATTAAGCTCACACGCCGCGATATTACTGGAATACTGTTAAAAGCGGCGTTAAACCCAACTCACTCACTCACTATGACTAACTCCGGTTATAACCACTTAAATGAGTGGCCCCTTTGAGTTCCTTATAACCGTAGTTTACTGTATAGCGTAAAAGTCGACTATGCTTGTCGTAAGAGGCGATTAACGTGATCGGGTGGTCAGTCTCGCTGACTTGGTTGATGCATGTCGTCGTATCCCAATTGCGTGGATCGATGCTCATGATGTCAATTACATAATCGTCTGGTCCAGACTCGATTATTTACTGCCGTCATATAGCTGGAATATTGCTCAGCGCGGCGTTAAACAACAAACGTACCTTAAAATTAAACGTGTACACTGTAAGCAATTTGGGTGAAATAAACAGTGGAAAATGTAGCACTGAAATAAATGTACAACTTTCATAAAATTTAATTCAGATCACGGTGGAGCCCTAATGTTTGGACGTGATATCAAAGTTGAAACGAAAATGTTGACATCCGTACGTACAGAGATAAATTGTCAAATCAGTAAATGGCCTCACAAGATTAATGACTAATCCATAAGTTATGTTGAAGTACCAAGTTTTAGGTTTACAATCAAACAAGGCAATTGAAGGGGTCAAATAAGTGGCAGTAGCAATAACTAAGATGCCTTATAAATAATGCAAGCTCTAATTTACTTACTGCAGTCGACTGCCGTAAAAATCTGGCCACGAGTGCACTTGAAATTTTACAAGCACTTCAATATTTTGCTGTCACTGACAACTGCTCTTATTACATTTCTCTACTACAGTCTCCACTGCCACATAACACAGTGCAAGTCAAATGCACCCAATTTACAATTCTTAGGTCTACAAAATGATGCTAGAAAAAAATGGTTATATTATGATTTGGTGGTTTGAGCACCTATGTAATATTATACTATAATGCAAAATACAAGTAAAATTTCTACCTGAATAGAGATAGTGAACCGACTTATGAACTTATACGATGACTTATAGTTATAGAAAAACGCCACTGTCAGTGTCTCTGCCATGCCGACCATTTCACAAAACTGATGTCGAGAAAAACTCTGCACATGCTTCGCTAGTGGTCCATGCATTCCTGACACAGACTTGTCTATTTGCCATAACGGCTTGGTACATGCAACCTGATGTGCATTGTGTTCCGATCAAGACACAGAAAATGTAACATAACAGGTATCGCCACCGCGTCCTGGTTATCTGATGCCAACTGGAGGTGTTACTTCTTTGATAGATCATGCTCATTCTATATTACATCTCACCTTTCAAATGACAAATATCAAGTCTGCAACCAGATATTGCTCTCTCGTTTGAATTCCAGAATCTCGGTATCACGGTTTTCCTATTTCGACATATTGGTCAAGGTAATCCTAATCCGACAGTTTGGAGCTTGTTCTCTGACCTAAAACTCACCCCTACTTTCTCAAACTGTAAATACTTGTCTCCTCTTAAACTTAAAAAAAATGTTTTGATATTCTTTTGTTGGAAATATGTAAAAACGCAAAAAACTCTTTGATGTGTTTATATATGCTATGTGTTCACTGCAGCTGTTGCACGTGCAACCAAGCTCCGCCAAGAAGTGCTTTTAACAATGCACAGTCCAAGGCTCTTTACAATTTCAAGGGATCCTAAACGGGTATCGATGTTTTATCAATTGCCGGCACGTTAAGTGAGCATACTGATAGCGATCACAGGATTTGCTTGTTTATTTGTTTGTTGTTTTACGCCGCACCCAGTAATATATGACGGCGGTCTATAAACAAATCCAGTGATTGACATCATGAGCTTCGATCTACGCAATTGGGATACGATGACATGCATCAGCCAAATCAGCGAGTCTGACCACCCGAACCCGTAAGTCGCCTTAGCCGAAAAGGCATGAGATTTTAGGAAATCTTGAACCTTGAACAAGGATATATATCAGTTTTTCCCATCAAAGTTTTGTCTAACTACTAATAACGTTATCCACAATATTTTCTTAACTTTTATGGATCCTACATATATTGTTAATATTCCATTGTTATCTTCACATCAGTCTGCCATGTGTCGCAATATCCGAGGCTGGCTTTACACGTCCACAAAAAATACGATGCGGATCCAAGCCCCCCTGGCGACGCGTTTTCCGAAAACATTTAAAATAAATCACTTGAGTGTGAAAATAACAAACAGTTACGTCAAATCCAAGTGTACATCAATTGAAATGTTGATTCAAGATAGAGCAGGCGTGAATAAAAGAGAACCAAATATGCTTTAAATGTATTTTAGGAGTGATGAATTGAAAAAATGTTTTCATATAATACTAGTAACTTATCAAACTTTCAAGACAAAACCCTATGAAGCCCTCCGTACGCGTTTGCAATATTCAAACCTTATCCCAAATGAGGACCAGAAATAACGGGCTTAAGGTACTGTACCAATGTCTGGAAAATCGAACTGTCGGCTTTACCACCAAGTTACATGTACATTGAATAAATAAACACTTATTTTGTAAAATTGTCTATTCCTCAAAAGAAGTCTTGCATTTGTTCCCTTTCTCTATGCATTATCACATATGATTTTAAAAGTTCAAACAGTTCACACTTCTGTGACTAAAAGAAGGATCCTACATGTGTTTGTCCCAACTATGTTTGATGACAAAGGCAAGGATTGAAAACGTTAAGTGTTAAATCCTTCTGACACTGAATATATTTATCATAAGTTGAGCTCACGCTTGAAACAGAATACAGCTTTCATCGGTGACATGTGTTATTGGAAAGGGACATTGATATTCATACATTGATGACGTTAATCTTGCGTGTTGGGCATTCACGACCTGTACCGCGCGAGATAATAACGAGGAACGCTCAAAACAATGAAAAATATGCTGAAACGCAATATTATAAACTTAAACAGGTATGTCATTATTAATACTGTAAAACATCGATAACACGATGATATGAGGGCTGGTCAAAACGTTCTAAGCCTGACAAACAAAACCAACAATTGTGGAAGTATTTTTAATTTTATTTTTCAACATAATCTCCCTCATTTTCACTACACTTCTCATATCGATACCCATTCACGGCAGCTTTGAGGTCACCGTTGTCGCTTTCCACGTAGGTGTTCTTTTAGTTTAGGAAACAGGCGGACGTCACTTGGTGCCAGGTCTGGCGAGTATGGAGGTGAGGACTCTCTTCGAACCCACATTGTCGCATAGCAGCCTTTGCAAGTCGAGAGGTTTGAAAGTATCTCTCAGGCGATGAAGCAAATCAGCACAGTAGGCACCAGTAATCGTCTTTTGACTTTCTAAGTAATCAACGAGGATCACACAATTTACATGCCAGAATACAATGACCATTACTTTCTTCACGTATCTTGAAGACATGAATTTCTTTGGTGCCGGAGAGTTGGAATAGTGTCATTCCATGGAATGACTTTTGACTCTGGATCATGGTGGTAGACCCATGTGTCATCACCCGCTACTAATATCATCTTGAATTTGACTAGATCCCCTTTAATGTCAGTTCTTTTTTCCCTTTAGCTCTGAATTTAGAAACTTTAGGACCCAACTGATATTTTATTAATCTGTAAATGTTAATGAATAAAAGTTTCAACGGATCCATGGCATAGACCTGTGTCTTCCACAAGTTCACAAATGGTGAGACGTCTATCTGACAGTATACGTTTTTCTATCTCCTCGATTGAATCCACAACTAGGGTCATTATCAAGGCTTATTTTCCAAACCTTAAACATAACTGCCGAAACAATTAACAGTGGAAAAGCCCCATACACTTGTGACATGCGGTC